TTTACTTATGAACACTGAATATGAGTAAAGAAATGGTAAATGTTTGAAGAGACAGATGTCCTAGTGTAAACATTACACAAATATATGCACTGAATTCACATCACTTGGTACTCCAGAAATAGGCAGTTTTATATTTTTATGTATCAGTTAGAAATGATTTTAAATTAAAAATAATAATGCAAAGAGATGAAGAACAGAACAAAACAGAAATCCCAGGCTCTAGGCTTTGGAGAATTCTTATTTAATCAAGTGATGGCAAAGTCCATAAAACAACAAATTCAACATTTCCTTGTTTTGAGCTACAGTGGAATTCTGTTGCTTTCCCAGTTCAACCATGCATTAAAATTGTTCTTTTTTTTTTGGTAAGTCTTCTTAGAATTTATTTTTGTGCCATCTATGATTTGTTACTATGGACATTTCCTAGAAACAGCAGTCCTCTGACAAATACATAAGTCCTTCAGGGCGATTTATACCAGGATGCAATTTTACCCTTCTTTCTATTCAGCCTTTGTGTTGTCTCCTAAGCTATGCTTAAATCCTAGGACTAAGAGAAAAAACAATTCTGGTAGTTTTGATTTTTTTGTATGTGTGGAGGTTGAAGAAATTCACATGTGGGAGCTGGTTTGGCTGCACGTGCAGATTTACAAAATGGATTCATTTCTCAGGAATGCCAATGCTTCCTAGGGGTGGTTGCATGGCTTCAAAACCCTTCTTGGAAGCTCTCAAATTCAAGAATGCGGAGAGACTGACTTGTGAAAAGACCCAGGAGGAAATGTGTCTGGTGCCTTCTGGTTCTGCCTGCGTGCCAGTGATTGACAGGATTATTATATTTTTTTTTTCTGTGTGGGCCATTTCTCACACTGGGAGTGGTGGGGTGAGATCTGCACTTCTCACTCTTCACAGAAGGCGCAGAGACCGCCGTTCAGAGTCCAGCCTGGCAGAAAAAGCTTTGCAGTTGATTTCACATGTTTTAATGTGCAATTTATAGTTTTATTATGTATGTGCTAGTGACGATTTCTCTTTTCACAGTGACCTATTTTTAAAACCAACCGTTGTTTTACCTCGGAGGATGTGTTTATATATCATGTGTTATATATGCTTCTTGTAGGGTCATAAAGCTGTTGAAAACTATGAAATTCTTTTCTTTTCTCTTCTTTCTTTCTTTCTCTTTTTTTTTTTTGGTCAGTCCTGTAGCTTGAACTCAGGGCCCAAGTGCTGTGTCTGAGGTTTATTCCCTCAAGGCTAGCTCTCTACCACTTTGAGCCAAAGCTCCACTTCCAGTTTTCTGATGGTTAATTGGAGATGAGTCTCAAGGACTTTTCCTGCTTTGACTGGCTTTGAACTGTGATCCTCAGATCTCATTCAGCCTTTCTGAGTAGCCAGGATTACAGGCCTGAGCTACCAGCGCCTGGCTGAAAGTTCTTTTTTACTTAGAAAAACACCCTTTAGGCACATTTGGGGGATAAGTGTTGGGGAATAAAATACCAATGACAAATTTTCACCTTTCTCTAGCAAACACATTCCAGAATTTCCCAGCAAAAGGAGTAAAATAGGTCTATGTCTAGCATCACGCTGCAAAATGAAAGCTAGATAAAGATCTATGTTTAATCAGTCTAGAGTTTAATTATTATACTATGAGGGAATTGTCAAAAAGATTTTTTAAAAATCCAGTCAAGGTTTGGAAAAAGAGTAATAATTGATAGATTAGACACTGTTTTTCTAAAAAAGAAGCTGAGGTGTAATAATATTGTATAAATTATCAGAAGGAAGTCTTGGCACTAATTAATTCTGTAGTTGGAGAAAATATGTGGGGAAAAGAGTTTGAAAAGTGATTTGGGATAAATTTATTCACGTTGCTACAAAATTTTGAAGGGTTTTATTAGTGACGTAGGTCCTCAATCAGACTTGCATTGCCCTTTGGTGGGTGGGACAGGGGAAATCAGATGTTAGGTGAAATGAACCCCAAGATAAGGACTCAAATGGTTTTTCTTTCTTGCTATTGTTTCTAACATCTTTATAAGATGATTTCTTTGTTGCTTTGTGTGTCCTTCCCCCATGGTATAACCCCTGTTTTCACTGTACTTGATGTTGGTATACTTTGGGGAGGGGAAGGGAAAAACAAAATTATTTAAATAGGGATATAGGTGGACCCATTGCACCAATGAGATGTACAAGACGTTATGTCGAAAAATGAATTTTACAACTTTGGTGGTGGGGGGAGGATTGGATGAGGGGAGGTGTGGGGAATATGGGAAGGGATGGGAAGGGGAAACAAGGAGGAGGCAGCAATGCTTGATAAGAAATGAACTCGTTATCTTGCCTATGTAATTATAACCCCTCTGCAGGGATTTTCACACACAAAAAAAACAAAAAACAATGGAAAAGCTCTTAACTGCTGTGCAAATAGAAGAAAAAGCTTGTTAAGAGAGAAGGAAGTTGAACTAGAAAGTCAGAGTAGGCTGGAGATAGGATTATATGAGTATGTAGAAAACTAAGACTTGGAAACAAATGCACCTTTGGAAAATGAAGAAAGACCAACCAATAAACAAAAGAAAACGGGAACCCTTGTAACCCATTCCAGTTATGTTAGATAGGAAGAAAGAAGAAGAACAGAAGGCTGTTAGGCAATACAGTATTGAGACTGCAGAGGGGAAACCCTCGGTGCATATCTGGGGGGGGGGGCAAGTTCTCTGCGGCCTTCCCATTTGACACTCTTCAACATGGAGAACATCCAATCCAAGAAGGAAGCCGCTGACAGACGTGGAGTTGGCAAGTATAAAGAGCAGTAGCACACAAGAACAGGTTGCTCCAAGCCAAACACATTGAGTTGGAGTATGGAATATGAAGATTAGAAATTAATTTTTTTCAGTATCTTCACAAATAAAATAAAAAAAATCAAAAAAAAGAAATTAATTTTTTGTAAACTACTCCTAGTTTTGTAGCTATAGGACAATATCATGAAATGTTTTGAGAGTAGCAGTTAAAGGTCTTAGCCAAGGGCACTGGTGGCTCACGCCTGTAATCCTAGCTACTCAGGAGGCTGTGACCTGAGGATCTTGGTTCCAAGCCAGCCTGGGCAGGAAAGGCCATGAGACTCTTGGCTCCAATGTACCAGCAAAAACAGAAGTGGAAGTGTGGCTCAAGGAGTAGAACACCAACTCTGAATGAAAAAGCTACAGACAGTTTTCAGTACAAGCACAAAGGAGAAAATAAAGTTAAAGGTCCTTTGTTATAGTTTACTATTACCTATGTGTTGTATAGAAGTTTTAAAAGCTATACTCACATTCTTGAGGATGATTGCTTACTTTGAAAAAGTATGTGTGAACCATAAGTAATACTTTCAAAAGGAACATTTATGAGAGATGATGCAGTTTACTTGTGTTCTAACTGGAAATGAAGAAAAACAATCTGACATCTTAAGAAATTAATGTAATGAAGGCAGATGAAGGCAAACAACTAAAACTGCATCTGAGAAAGAATATGGGACAGAGGGGAGCTTAACGGATGGAAAGACTGATTTTCAACCATCAGTCTAGGCTTAAATACAGAATCCTTTTCAATTCACACACAACTATTTATATCTAATCTTTACATTGACCTTTGTGTTTCCTGAGAGTTTATGTAAGAGATGATTTTGACTTCACTTGTCAAATACACATTTAAAACTTAAAATGCACCATGCAGATAAAAATGTCCCTGTGGTACCATGTGCACACGATATTATCAAAAGCTCAGAAATGGCCTGTCACTGATTTCTTACTAAGTCTGTGAGAAATGAGGGAACACAACCCACAAATCTCCTGATCTTTACCTCATCTGTGAAGATCACTCCATACACCACTTCCTTCTTTTTTCCAAAGGTAGTTTGTGCAAATAATTCATATGGAAGATTATGAAGTGGGTATACAATCCACTGGTGCAATTCTTAATTGCATTTTTTTTTTAAAAAAACACCAAATAGCTAGAGAGGCAACGGTCTAGTTAACTCTGAGATTTTGTAGGGTTTTCTTCCTACAAGTATTCTAATATTGATCAGTACTGAATGATTATATGAGAAAAATCCATAGTAAGTACTTGTGTAATTATTGAGAATGATGCTAGTACTTTCTACCAGGTTGTTTTGAATGACCTATAGGAAATACATTTCACTATTTCACTGAAAGCTCCTGGTTTCTCTTTATTGGCATTGTGATGATTAAAACAGTAGGTGTTTTTAGGAATCCCATTACAAAAATATAAAAATGTAGGTGCCAACAGGAATTAATTTTCTACAAGTTTGCGATCAAGGTACCAAGCAATGTATTTTTCCTGAAGCCTCTCTCATTGACTTGAAGATGAACGCCTTGCCCTCATAGCTTTAACTCCAGTGTCTCTTTCTGTTCATACAAGGAAATTGCTGAAAGACACATAAATGATCCTCTTACATCTCTCCTGGAGGATCTCACACTCTGTGAAGGGCTGTTTCAACAAACACAGAGGCATTAGTGATTTGGACTTTGATATAGGATCTGAGGTTATAGTGATGCATTAACTGTAATGATTGGGTAGCTAGGAATTTACTAAATCTGCTTAACACAGCAATCAGTACTAGAAAATGTCTCACATCATTTTTCTACCAATAAGTTTCCCTCAACTCAATTTTCTTATTTTCACAGATACTGTTATTTTTTGGTAAACTGTTAAATCATTTTTTTGTAAGGAAGCAAACCAATCAATCAGTTGGTTAAATTCTCCTCAAAAAGGGTATCTGCTCACTGAAATGATTGGAAGGAATTATTCTTGGTTACCAAAAATGCTGGAGAAGGTCAAACAATTTCACTTCTCTGAGTATACTAACCATTTTAGGTGAATGTGTATGGGATGCATATTATATGCATATGGGATGCATATTATAACAGACTGACTCTTTTGTCTTTTTATAATAGTATCAGTGGAATTAATTTTTTCAGACAACAAAATTGTTTCTCTTCTTATATCAACTGTTTTTCCTTTTATTCTAGAGAGTCTTAAGGAGAAAGAAGCTTCAACCCATCCAGCCAGAACAAAAGCCAGATAGGTATATTGTTTACATAAAAGCAGCAAAGTGTCAGTTAATGTCATTGTTTTTAATATTGTTGATGTAATTGCGGACATTACTAATTCTAAAGAGATGCATTTTTAGAGATCTTTTTATTGTTGCCATTGATGGTTGCTTTTTTTTCCCTCCATGCCACTGAGGCAAGGAGAATTTTGTTTTCAGTTAATTTTATCAGTCACTACACAAGTTGAAGTGGTGTGTGTGTGTGTGTGTGTGTGTGTATGTGTGTGTAATCTAAACCTTATGGATGTAAACATTTCTGTGCACGTTTCAGCTGTTTTGTTGTTATTTATTATCTGTGCACCATGCACAGTTCTCCTTCCAATGTCCTTATTAGGACTGCTTAGATTGCTTTTACTTTATGTATCAAGTCCGTTGATAAACACCTGAAACCTAATGATCTTGTGATATAGATTAGAGGGTGAGACCAGAGAAGAGATTATAGGAAATAACCCAAGATGTTTCTGGAAAGGAAACATTCATACCTGTGTGATCTTACTCACTGAAAATACCTTCATTTAGTAATTATAGGTGGTTATTAAGTAAAACATATAAAATAGATAGATGAAGATGATGGTGAGTGCTGGTATGTGTTCAGAAGAAATCATTTGATTCTCAAAGAATGATTCTCAAATAGCACTTGGGATTCCCAGAGTGTTGCACGTAGCCAGAGTCCTCATACTAGTGAGATTCACCAGAGTACCATGTCAACACCATCTCGTTTCCCACCATAGCTTTATCTAGGGCGGAAGTAGGACCTCTTGTCCTTAACAACAGACTGAGTTGGGATTTTTCTGTTTCTTCCCTTGCAATAGAGACATTTTGATTTCTAATCTTGAGTCTACCTGTACACATGGCCTTGAGATAATTCCAATCCAGTTTGCTGCAGGGAGAGAGAAAAGGCTGGCTGCACCTGGGGCAGAGAGTAGGTCCCGGCGTGGCATGAATTTAATCCCGCATGAAATTGGAAGGAAAACATCCAAGGAGGGGCAAGCAGAACAGAGAAAGCACACACCAACATTCTCTTTAAAGCACAGTAGCTCAGTAGTAAAATGAGCATAAATGATGTTTCAAGCAGGGAAAACCAGATTTGTGATTACTTTTTCTTGGAGGAGCTCACAAAGAGGGCTAATAGGAAGGCAGAAGCACTGAACTTCTCAGGGCTCTGCCCTGTCACAGTCCACATTTACTGCTTTTCTAACAGGCCTTGGCCTGTTTTTGGCTGCCTACTTCCGTGTGCTCCTTGATCCACTAGAAATGACAGTTCCTAACCACCTATGTGAACAACATAGGAAGTACAGACAAAATTGGATGCAAGTTAGCTTTGTTGGTAAGGGAATTTATTTTGTTATGTGAAACTCTGTAACTAAAGTCCTTATTTAGAGGGCAAGGGATCTATAGTAAGTACCAATCTTTTCTTCATTCCATTCTTTTTGAGCAGAGATCAGAGAGATGGATGCAAGTGACTGAAGCTGGGGTTGGGAGCAAAGCGTTAACCCAAGAGAAATAAATTATTAGCACTGGGAGGAGGAAGAGTCAGAGCAAGGAAGAAAAGAGGAGGAGGGAGAGAGGAAAAGGGAGGAGGAACAAGAGGAGGGAAAAGAAGAATCAGAGGAAGGAGGAGGAAGGGAGAAGGAAGAAGAAGAAGAGGAGGAGAGGAGGAGGAAAGGTGAAAGAGGAAGGAGGAGGAGGAAGAAGAAAAGGAAGGATGAAGGAGGAGGAGGGAAGAAGAAGAAAGGAGAGAGAGGAGAAGGAAGTGGTGGAGGAAGGAAGGAGGAGGAAACAGGAGCAGGAATTGGGAGGAGGAAGGGGAGCGGGAGGATGGGAGTGAAGAGAAGGAAGAGGAGGAGGGAGGACAAAAGAAGGAAGAGGAGGAGGAGGAGCAGGAGGAGGAGGAGGAAGATGAAGAATTCAATTTGTTTTGTTCTTGTGCAGATGAGCTTGTGAAAAATTGGTAACATGATCGCCTGGTTATTTGGACTTTTGGCATTTCAGTTGTCCTTTAAGGACTATTTTCTGGAATGTTCTGTGTGTAGACATCTAGGAACCATAAGAGAACATGTCAGATGTTGCAGACCATTACCAGGAGAGCTTGATCACAAAGTCAGAATCAACTTAGCATGAACAGAAATAGTGTTGACTTTGGAACAACCCGCCTTTCCTCCCACACGGAAATGGCTCCATATCTGCCTTTCTTCTCTCATATTGATTCCCTTAAACATTTTAATGCCTGAGATGCCCTTAGAGATTTACATAGGATTTCAGCCTCTGCCCCTTAATAGGGAGATTAAACAGATTGCTGGGGATTTAGAACCAGCCTCCTCCTCCTCCTCCTCCTCCTCCTCCTCCTCCTCCGTCCTCTCCCACTCTCCTCCTCTTCCTCCTCCTCTTCTCGTTCTTCTCGTCGTCCTCCTCCTCCTTCTTTTTCTTCTGGTTGTTGCTAGTAATAAAGTACTAAATCTTTGGGAAGATTTGCAAAAGAAATAGTAAAACAAGATGAAGACATGAGTGGAATTTCTTAAAAAATGGATTACATTCCTTTTCTTAAAATTCTTTATCACCCATAGTGAATGTAGTACAATGCTTTCAAACTGAATAGACTTTAAGTTTAGAGGACTGAAGAAGGCCACGAACTAGTTTCACTCATTAGCCCAGTGGCTTCAAATCGAGCACTGAAGGCATGAAAGCCTGTCACATTTCTGCTTTAAGGCTGCCTGTACAAGAGACGAAAGCCTCCACATAGCTTCACAGAGGAAGATCCAAATCAGAGTAAATTGTGAAAATTATCACTAAATTGCACAGCATTTGGACAAGGCGGGCACACTAATCTAATCAGGAAAGGGCTGATCATTACTTTCCCATAATGCAGGTTGGAAGAGGAATTTGGAGAAGGAAAGCAGCACAAATCATTTTTAATATATCTCTGATCTTGGCAACCTGGGCTGGTTTTTGTCACAAATCTCCAGCTTTCAAAGTGTTTGCTTTTTACAACAGCCAAAATAAGTGTCCTTTAAACATGTTCAACCTATGAACAGATGGGCAAAGCGTGCTTTTATAAATGGAGCATACAAAATATCTTCAGCATCAGCCAAAACTAATTAGTAGCAATATCTGAACTAAACTCTAAAACTGATTTAGTGTTTAATATATATTATCCTATAAGCATTAGTAGTTGAAAGGAAATTCCCTTTTCAAATGTTTGCCAAGCTCAGAGTTTAATGTGTAGACATGATTAACTTACTAATTAACTTAGTGTATCTTTTCTCACATGTAATTGGGCTTAATGACTTCTTCCTCTGAAAGCCATTTAATTTGATACTTTGATCACAGATTTCTCAAACTTGAAAAAAGTCAAATTCAACCAGTCAAGCCCTGGTTTTTCAACTTTTTAATGATTTATGGGGATGGGGCATAGTATCCCACAGATGTACAGGTTTCTCCAAAGTAAAACAGCAAGTAACCAAGATCTCAAGTAATATTAAATATTATCAAATTTTATACATTAAGTAAATCACATCCAGGTAAGTTGGACCATGCCTATAATCCCAGATACTCCGGCCAGAGCATAAAATGAAACACCATCCCCAACAAATAAGTCAGGTGTGTATTTCTAGCTAGGTGGGAAACATGTTTCCTTAGATAGGCAAAATATAATAATGACTGGGTGGTTTTCCTTATGTCGAATCAAGAGTAGACAATGTACACAAAAACCAGTGTAGCAAAGTAATTTTATTTTTCACTTTTGTTTGGATATCCAACCTATATTTTACACTCACTGATTCACAGACATTTGCTTATTTTATGATCATCAGAATTCACCTTTGTCAACATTTCATAGCTTCAAACTCATTCCCCATAAATACAGCTCACTTTCTACTAAGCCATCTATAGATTATTCGAGAAACTCAGTTTTCAATTATTTAAAAATGTACTACTGATCAAATTCTATATGTTTATGGCTTCTTTTCTTTTTTGTTAATAAAAATAGACAAAAGGTATACACCAGTTGGTAAATGTTTCTATATCTACATTAATTCCTTTACTTAACACAGTCCTAATCACTCATATTAACTACAATCTTTACCCAGAGTAAGGAATTTGATTCTTTCTGTATGTGTCTGGCTTTTTCTCTCATTAGTTTAAAATAGTGTCAGGAGTCAGAAATTTACTTGGACAAAGCACCCCTTTAAGAAATCTGGAAGAAAGTACATCAGATTGACATCATGACTTGAATTATATGTATAAATCATAGTACCTTTCCTATTTCAATATATCAATCATTGAAATCACTTATGATTTTAGAAGTATTGATTTTGTCCTTGTTCTTTTTAAATGTTGATTTTTAGACTGAAAACCCTTGAAACGAGTAGTGATAGATTGGACAGTAAAGTTAAAAGAATCGGACCACACTTAGACATCTTCCAAGTCTTCGGAGGAAATAATAAACCATTAATGACCAAGAAAGTAGTTAAAATGATCGTCCACACACAAGCAGCTGTGAGAGGGTGGCTTGAACGCAAAAGATTTGAAAGAGTATCAACCAAGGTAAAATATATATCAGGGTGATAATGTCTTAAAGTGGCTTAGAGGGAGCTGATTAAGTAGAAATCTTAATAGCCAGCTGGTCAACAAGTTGTTTCTAAGTTGTGTCTTTATGCTTTTGATTAAGAAATATTATAAATGAACTGTTCTGATAAGGAGAGGTTCTTTAGACACTGTTCTGGGACATTTAAAAAATTCTTAAACCAGAACATGCTGCGTTGCACTGAAGTCGTTTCTTTGCTACATCGTGACATATCTTTTAAGCATCTCTCCTCCACTTCCTTCTCTCCTGGGAACCCTGGAAATGCACAAAATATTCTACTGGAAATGATCTATACTCCACTTCACCTGAATGACTTTTGTAATTAGCCATGTGACTTTCAAAAGAAATCATGAAGAACCATTTTGGCTGGGCAAATGCAGATGAATCTGAATGGATGGATACTGGCAAACCTTTGAACGAATAAAAATGTTTAGGACTAGAAGTTATCCAGAGCAATGATGACAAGAAAACTAAATCAGAATTATGCAAATTCTTGAATTTGGTCCTCTTCTGAGTGAATCCCTCTAGAATGGACTTGCCAGAAGGCACTCTGAACATATTTGTTCCCAGAACACAGTCATAGCTGTTAGAACTACTTCATCCTCATCTCTGGATACAAATTCATCCTGAATGATTTAACACAGGTAAAAGGTAAATATTCTCTCTTACAGGTCAGTCATTTTCTGAGATTGTTTTTGTGTCTATTTTAGAAGTTGCAGAAATAGAAGCTCAGAGAACTTAAGTCATTGAAAACCAAAGAACCAGCAAATGATAGAATGTGAATTCTAATCGGTATTTTTCTGACTCCAGATTATGCTAATCTACATGTCTTACTACTTTCTGGAACTACATTAGTAATGGCTCGTTGCTCCCAAATCTAACTTAAAGCAAATCTTACACTTTTCTCTACAGCTCCAGACCCAGGTATTAAGCTGCCCACTTGAAATACCTACAGAGAAATCACAGTCTATATAGTCTTACATAAACTCATGTCTTCACTTCCCAAAGCACTTCCTTACTTGTACAAATATCACCCGTTTCTTTTGCCTGGAATTGCATGTTGGGAATTCTCTCTTCTGTTGCTTAAACTTCTTTATTCGCATATCTGGTTGGTTATAATCTTGGGGACATTTTTATGTCCCCTTCTTCTCTGTACTTTTTTTTTGTGGGGTTTTCCTTTATCTACCCTTAAATGGATCTCCTGAATTACAGGTCTATTCTCATCTAATCTTCTACTAGCTTCCATATTTATAATTTCATTTGGATTACATCTTTCCATTTCTTAGAATCATTTGATGGGGCCTATCTCAATGATCACACAAACTGTGAATTTTCTACTGGAATACATTTGACCTCCTTGTTTTTGCTCTTGTCCTCTGTCCAGGCTCCATCTCATGACATTCCTTCACATACTTTCTGCACCTTCGCAAACTCCAAGCCATGATTGCATCCTGTTATCTTATGGTTTTTATTCTGTGGCCTCAGCTGGTAATACTCTTCCTCATCTTCTTGTAATTGCCATATAATTTTCAAGAAGACCCTGAAGTCTGTTCATGTAAACATTCTTTCTGGTCTGTCAAGTACAGTGGTTATCTCCATTCTTCTAGTCACTATGGTGTCCTGTATACATCATCATGGTCTTCTGTTGGCAGGTCTGGCCCAGGAATTAGAATTTATGTGACACATTTGGGAGTACTCTTAATTTTTGTATTCACAGAACTATCACATATAATGTGCAATCTCTGTCTTATTAAGTATATACATTTATTTTATTGTCAAGGTACAGAGGGGTTAACATTACATAAAATAGTGATTACATTTCTTGTCTAACTTGTTACCCTCTCTATCATTTTTCTCCCTTTTTTCCACTCCCCAGCCCCCTCCCAAGTTGTACCGATTATTTCCAACATGTTGTGAGTATCACTGTTGCATAGATTCCCACTTTCTCCTTTGTCTCACCTTTTTGTTGCCCTTCCCTTCGCTAGCTCAGATAAATGTATATACAGTACCCAGGGTACCAAATAGAATACAGTGACAACAGGGGATAAACCATAGAGGGAAACACACAGACACATAGACACACACACACACACACACACACACACACACACACACACACAGAAATCACATAGTACATTAAGAACAACAACAAAGGAAAAACCTCTTGTGTCCATGTCTTGGAGTTCATTTTGTTTAGCAACATCTTATAAGGTCATATGTACATAGCTACTGAGTTATTCTGTTCATCTGCTAAGATTATCCTAGATGAATACTAATTATTACAAATAAGGGAAGCCATAGAACCTACGTTTCTTTGGGTCTGGCTTATTTCACTTAATATGATTTTTTTCCAAGTCCTTCCATTTTCTTGCAAATAGGGCAGTGTCATTCTTTCTGATGGAAGCATAGAATTCCATTACCTATATCTCTATCTATCTATCTATCTATCTATCTATCTATCTATCTATCTATCTATCTATCTATCTATCTATCTATCTATCTATCTCACATTTTACCCACAAGTTTTCTTATCTTCTCATTTGTGTTTGTTTATATGCTTTATTTGGTAGGACTGTCAATTGTCTGAGGACAAGAATCTCTCTTGTTGGCCATTATTTTCACTAGTGCTTTACAGAGGCTAGATGTCCAACAAATGCCTATGAAATGGATAAATTGATTCATCAAAATATAGAAGTTTATCATACTGTTCTAATGTATCCTTAAAGTCTGTCTACATGCTTTTGATAAATGCCACTTGCTTACTTATCACATTTCTTGCTATGAAAAAGAACTACAGTCATTTCTGGGACAAAAATTGAGTCTAAAATACATAAGAGCAAGAATATGTGCAAGATATGGTTGGAAAAGAAAGACAGATGAGAAAAAAATGTTAAATTTCTAAGTGGCAGTAGAATTAGAGATGAAAAGAATGGGATGTACTTTTAAAGGATCAGAGTCAATATCTACTAGATTGTTGACTTTTATTTGGTGATAAAACTTGTTATGGTCATTGATTTTTTTTATTGCATCATTGGCATGGTGCTTTAGCTGTTGGATGGCTGCTTTGTTGGGATGGATACAGTTGTTGAGCCTACTATCAGAATACTAGAGGGACAGGCGTATAATGTAATAAATTGCATTGCCAGGACTGTACCCATGCGAAGGGTTGCTGTTGAGGGAATTCTAGATAGACTTTCTGCTCTGTAGGCTGTACTGCAAATCACTGGGAAACTGTCAGCACTATGGGCCTTTCCTGAGCTGGGAGTCTTCCAAAGCCAGGCTGCCTGGCTGCCTCTTCTAAGTTTTGTGCGGTGGACAGCGTATGCTCTGATGCCACTTTAATAGTATATGTCTGAGACAAGCAGAAACAGTCAGATGAGTTGATGTTAGGTGAAATGAACCCCAAGATAAGGACTCAAATGGTTTTTCTTTCTTGCTATTGTTCTAACAGATTTATAAGATGATTTCTTTGTTGCTTTGTGTGTCCTTCCCCCATGGTATAACCCCTGCTTTCACTGTATTTGATGTTGGTATAATTTGGGGAGGGGAAGGGAAAAAACAAATCATTTAAATAGGGATACAGGGAGACCCATTGCACCAATGAGATGTACAAGATGTTATGTTGAAAAATGAACTTACAACTTTGGTGGCTGGGGGAGGTGTGGCTGGGGGAGATGGGAGGGCAGGGATGTGAAGGGGAAACAAAGGAGGAGGTAACAATGCTTGATAAGAAATGTACTCATTACCTTGCTCATGTAATTGTAACCCCTCTGTACAGTATTTTTACAATAACAAATTTATTAATTTAAAAAAAGAATGCTCAAGGGACTGTGCAGTTGACACCATTTCATGTTAAATGCTCCCAGCTTCAGTGTATTTGGAAATACTGAAGCAATACTGAGTATCGTGTCAGACAACCACGAGATCATTTAGGTATGACCATATTTGTCAACATCCATAATGCCCTTTTGTTTTGTGTCTGTTGTTGGCTTGGAATCAGTAACAATGGTCCTAAAAAATCATAATGACACAACAGCAGAGTAATTTCCTCAGTGGGTTGTGTCTATGTTTCATTGATTTCAATACGTGCATGCGTAGAATTTCAGTTGCTGTTGCACAAAGACACTGAAATTCGGAAACATTTGAGCAGCTAGAGGTTGAAGGAAGGCATTGAATAATTTTTGCTGAGTACGTAGAACTGGAGCATTATTAGAAATTGGGAGTTTTAAGGTTGACATAGCAATATCCCATATGTCAGTCTTTAATGTTTTGGAAATTCAATAGCATGTGGCTCACCCTTTATCTTAAAAAAAAGAAAAAACACCAAACACCAGAAAGGTGCAGCAACCAAATCCTGTAGTGTACTTATGGACCCTATGGTATAAGCGATGTTAGTTAGACACAAGAGTTTTATTACACAAATGTTTTGGCCCCAGGTACCTGGAAGACAACATTTATTTATTCAATAGTACTCTAGTGAGAAGAAGATTCAATCCAGAGTCTTGTGCTTGCTATGTAAGAGTTCTACCACTTTATCTATGTTCCAAACCTATTTGCTTTAGTTTGTTGTTGTTGTTGTTGTTGGTCACAGGGCTTGAACTTAGGGCCTGGGCCCTGTCCCTGAGCTCTTTGTGCAAAGATAGCACTCTACCACTTGAGCCACAGTGCCACTTCAGCTTCTGAGTGGTTCATTGGAGATAATCTTCTCACAGGGACTTTTCTGCCCAGACCATGATTCTCATATCTCAGCCTCCTGAGTAGGTAGGATTACAGGTGTGAGCCACCAACATCTGGTTGCTTTAGTTAATTTTTAGGAAGGATTTCATGTTTTGTCTGTGGCTGAAAAAGCCCAGTGAAAAATAAGACATGACTGTATAATTATCAAAGGAAACAGAAGCTACTACAGTGAATAACTTAGGTATGCAGCTGTTACAAAACCAAGTCACAATAACACTTCAATAGACTTTTCGTCTTTCTGATTGAACATGCTACAAAACAGAAACATCTGCACGTGAACCTAGGAAGGGCCATTGTCAAAACCTTTACTCTACAGGGAGTAAGATGTGATGAGAGAGTAATGCATAGGTCAGCTGTGGCCGCCAGGGAGTTCCCATCACTCCACAAGGTCACCTTGTCACCACCAGGGGCAGGAAATACTACACACCGCCACCAAACACAGCCACAGAAACAGCTGAAAAGGAGTAAGTCAGGCAAAGAGCTTTACTGTTTATTTTACTGTGCAATAGGCCTTGTATCACGGACGGGATTTGAGATCAGTTATGGAAATGTATCGGAGACTGATCTACCGTGTGAGACATCAGCTTGGCCTTTGGAAGACGCGACAAGTCATGAACTTGGCAGAGCTAGAGGAGTGGATGGACAGGAAGAAATGTAAGTGAGGCTATATTTCTGATTTGACTCTAAGGTTGGATAACCATTTACCATTGTAAATATATCTATAGGATATCTATCCTAATAGGCATTAGGATATATATGTATATATACTTATACGCAGGATATATACAAAAAACAAAAAACATATGTATACTGAATATATTTTTTTTTCTTTTTTCCCCCCAAGACTGAGACTCAAACTCACTGCTTGATTACTTTAGCTCAGAGGCTTGCACTCTACCATTTGAGCCATGCCTCCAATCCAAAAGGATATTTTTATTTGTTTTTAATTTTTTCTTCTTCTTCTAGCTGTGTGGTATCTATCACCAAGGATTTGGGTTTTTTTAAACTTAAAAATTTTATTTTTGTTGAAAAGGTGATGGACAGGGGCTGGGAAGGTGGCTCAGTGGTAGAGCACTTGCCTTGCATGCCTGAGGCCCTGGGTTTGATTCCTCAGCACCACATAAGAAAAAAGAAAAAAGCCGGAAGTGGCGCTGTGGCTCAAGTGGTAGAGCACCAGCTTTGAGCTGAAATGCTGAGGGACAGCGCCCAGGCTCAGAGTTCAGGCCCCATGACCGGACCCCCCCCCCCAAAAAAAAGAAAAGGTGATGGACAGAGGGGTTTGCAGTTACACAAGTCCCGTAATGAGTACATTTCTTTTTGAACACTGAATGTATTTTTAACCATTGTATATATCCTATATTACATATATATTCCATAGGTACTATGTATATGTTATATACATTATATTATAATACAATATAATATATGTATTCCATATATATTGTATAATATCTATAGCTTTTGGATTGAGTGTTGATTTATGTCAGATCTATGACCAATTGCCATGCAAAATGGAAGAGCCCAGTGTAGTAGGAGAACCCAGTCTGGGTTTTCCTGGGGTGGAATGGGCTGTCTGTGCGGGAGAAGCCCCGCCATCTACCCTTTGCCCACAGGCGGCGACAGTGCTTCTGTAATCCTGAGAAGTAGCTGTAGATGTGAAAGTGAAGTTGGATTTAGCTGACTTATATGTGGTGTGTTACTTATAAAGTAAATATTTTCTTTATCTTCCTGGACTTTTAGTCTATGAAACCATGTTTGCCAAGAGAGAAGACTGGAAGGGATTGCAAAAGAGTGAGCTACTTAAGTACTTTAATGAGTGTGGCCATTTCCCAACCCAGAAACAAATTGATGATTACTGGGAGCGGCTCATCAAAGGCGAGTATTGAACCATTCCCCTTTTCCTCTTCTCTTCTTCCTGCCTCCCCCTCTCCTCCCTCCTCATTGGTCCCTGGTTCTTTAAGTGTATACTTCAGTATAATATAACTTGTTTCCATCTAAGAGTCTTAGATGCTTTTCCTGTTGGTGGGACATGCACCTGAGAAAAAAACAACCTAGAGGAGTCATTGTGTTGGGCTTCCGCTTTGGGGGGTTTCAGTCCTGGCCTCACTGACTTATGTAGGATCTATAAGGTCCTTGGTTTTGGTGTTTCTGGATCTAGGGTAGCATGTGTCTGTGTCAGAGGCTGCTCACTTCCTGGAGGACAGGAACAGGAAGAGACAGAGACCCTGAGGATAAGACTTACCTCCAAACAACTCCCCCCTCCACTCCCCTTCCAGAGATCTGCTTCCTCTACCTAGGGTCCAACATTGCAGTTTCTAGAACATTCTGAACTAGTGCACCCAACCGGAGACCAAATCTTCAGTGAGCATCCTCTGGGGGACTTTGCATATTCAAATTTGTTACAGAGTCCAGTTCAAAGGTACAAGCATTGTAAGCTATTTTAGAATAGAAGGATTTTATAGTTAGAAAACAATTTCTTCTCTGGATAGTAAATAAGTAAAAGGATATTGTTGTCTGAATACTGAATAATTTGCATGAAACGATTTCTCTCTTCCTAAAGATGAGTAAGGAGGCAGAGTTGTAGTAAGCTGTAAATAAGCAACCCTAATGTATACCCCTCAATTCCTTCTTTTCAGCTTTTCTTTCATTTCCAAGATTTACTGAAATATGAATAATAAAGAAGTATTCAAGGTGCATAATGTGATGATTTGATATACAGATGCACCAAGTTAAGCAGTGCATCAGTTACCACCAGGTTACTCCCCTCTCTGTAGATCTATGCATGGTGTGAGTTCACTTAAAATGTGCTTAGCAAATTTCAAGTAAACAGTACAGAATTATTATTTCTTTCCTCCTCTTTAAACTTGCTTTGAGAACGCTGCACAGTAATTATAGCCCCATAACTCATTAACAAGGGAAGTAAAATTTGACCACCATAACCAACATTTCCCATTTCACCAAACACTCTGCTCTTGGTAGCACCATTCTCCACTGAGCTCTTCTGAGTTCCCGTTGTCATATTCGAAGAATTGATGCCATTTGGTGTTTGTCATTCTGTGTCTGGTTTATTTTATTTAGCACGATATTATCTAGATTTATTTTTGTCATGAATGACAGAATTTCCTTCTCTTTCAGGCTGAAGAGAGTATTTCATTGTGTATAGGAACTATAGTTTTAAATCTATTCATCTGTCAATAGACATTTAAATCTGTTCATCCTTTCATAGATACCTAACTTGATTCCGCTTTCTTCGTTACTTCTATGAACAGTATTCCAATGAACATGAAAGTGCAGGTATTTCTTTGACATACTCATTATACTTCTCTTGGATAAATACTCAGATATGGGATTTGGGCTCTATCTTATTGGCATATATTCAATTGTACATAGTACAGGGTTTCATCATTACATCGTCATAATGTGCATAATGTATACTGATCATATTTGCCCCTTCAGTTGCATTTGTTATTACCCCTCTCCTCAACCTCACCTTTCCCTTCCCCTGCCATCTTTCCAGTAGCCTGTGTCTTGTTTTCCTCTAACTTCCACAGATTGGAGAAAGCACACAGTGCTCATCTTTATGAGACTGACTTATTTCTCCTAACATGGTGATTTCTAGTTCTAGCCGTGTTCCTGGAAACAACATGATTTCATTTTTCTTTATGGCTGAGTAAAACTCCATGATGTATCTATACTACATTTTTGTTTATCCATCAGTGGCTATCTAAGCTGATTCCAAAATACAGCTGTTCTGAACAGAGCCACAACCATGATGGTAGTGAACTGCCTTTAATTCTTTTTTTGTGTATTCCTGGAAATGACTACATAGTTTGAGACTTCTATTCTTAATTTTGTTATGAGCTTCCATACTGATCCACGGTAGCTGCACTAATTGACATTCACATCAGCAGTGAATAGGACTTCTTTTCTCCCCTATCCTCACCAGCATTTTATTTGTTTTTTTCTTGATAGTCATTCTGACAGAGCTGAGGTGTAATATCAGTGTGGTTTCCATATGTATTTTCCTGATGGCTAAAGGTGTTCATGAATTGATTGGCTATTTGTACTTTTGCATTTCATAAATGTTCAGTTTATTTGCCCATTTACTGATAGAATTATAAGCTTTAACTCTTCCTCTCAGCAAGGTCTTTTGTGAGAAATGGGAGAATGGAAGGTTAAGTAGCATCAAAATGTCCAGATCAAAGGTTTGTTTTGAGGTTTCTTCCCTTTGTTGATGGTGCAGATTAACCCACCTCTTTATCTATGAACATTAGCCACCATTATACCCCTATATTAGCACAGATAAAGAAACCTAAGTCACTACATTTTCTGTGGTTGTGATAGTTGATTGACTTCAAAATTATTTATTTACATTTTTCCTTTTTATTGCCACATCTTAGTTACACAGGAAAGGATTTCATTGCTGCACTGTTTTTCTTTTTCCATTTTCATGTTTATACTATATTCCAATCAGCCTCACCCTCAACTTTTTCCTTAGTGACAAAATACTGACTATGGAAAAAAAAATCTGTATTTTCTACATATTGTTTGACCATGTATTTTTTGCTTCAAAATACTTACATTTCTTAGCATAAATGTATTTTATAGTATTATTTATGAAAGAATAATATTTTGTATGAATACTCTAGGACTGTCAGATATTTCTTATTTTTAGTTTTCTTTATCATAAATAATAGCATTTTAACAGTTAAATGCAGCCAAGTATAATGAATATTTTAGACACAGGTTTACTACTGTGTCTAAAATATAAGACTTTAAAATATAAGACTTCTTTCAAGTTAATAGCTTCATAGGGATTATTCCCTCCACTGGTTAATTTGGAGTGTATTATAATGGATTAAATTTAGAGCATTTAGCTTGCTGGAATATTTCCTGGCTGTACCACTGATTAACTACAGTCCTTGGATAAGGTTTTCTCTTTCCTATCCCTTATTCTTCTCCACAATAAAAGGCAGATAATATCTAAGTCATTGGATTGTTGTAAGTCATAAATGAAATCATTCATGTAAAATAGGTGTCCTATAAGTACACAACAAATATTTGCTATTATTATTATGAATATCCTTCTCTTTAATATTCATATTCATATTCTTATATTTGGAAAGTTATTTCTTATGTTTGAAATGACTAAATATTGACAGTAATTATAGATGAATTATTTATTTATTTTATCAGTTTTGGAGCTTGAACTCCCCAGGGCATTATCTCTTAGCTTTTTTTTTTTCCTTTTTTTTTGTTGGTCATGAGGCCTGAACTCTAGGCCTGGGCGCTGTCTGTCAGCTGTTCAGCTCAAGGCTAGCACTCTACCACTTGGGCCACAGGTCCACTTCTGGCTTTTTCTGCTTATATGGTGCTGAGGAATTGAACCCAGGGCCTCATGCATCTGAGTCAAGCACTCGACCATTGAGCCATCTTCCCAGCCCCCCTTTGCTTTTTTGCTCAAGACTAGCGCTCTATCACTTTGAACCACAGCTCCACTTCTGGTTTTCTGGTGGTTAATTGGATAAAAGTCTGACAGACTTTTCTGCCTGGGTTGGCTTTGAACCGCAATCCTCAGATCTCAGCTTCCTGAGTAGCCAGGAATATAGGCGTGGGCCACTAGCTCCCAAGAAGAAATAGACTTCTTTGCTTTTTTGCAGATCCTGGGGCTTGTACTCTGAGCTTCTTTTGCTCAAGGTGAGCACTGTACCATTTAAGTCACTTCCTAGAGATAGACTTTTAAAGCACATTGATAAACGTGAAAAAAAATCCCAGGTTTTCATTGCAAGATTAGTGTTTTTCTCATTTGGTTATGTGGACATACTTTAAATATTAGCCTCTAAAAATAAAATTACATGAATGATAGAAATACTGGAATGGGAATGTGGCTCAATGGTTGACTGCTTGTCCATCATGTATAGCTTCTGGATTTACTCCCTAGAACTATGTGAAAACAACCAAACAGCAAAACACCTTAGACTGCACAACGTGTTTTATTTATCTTTTATAGGCTAGCTTCATGCTTTGCAGAATAGTAGACATCTGTAGATGACTGAATCTGTTAAAATTCTGTTAATTTTTTTACTATTATCTTTAAGTAGTTGTACACAGAGTTGCTGTTCAACAAAGCAAGTTATTAATACAATGCATGTTGATCAATGTCAAAGTCTTACTAACTAGGATTCTCAAAATAAAACTTCATTTAAAAGACAGATTGCTTTTATTATAATGTCTAAGATTCTTTATATATATAATTTCAATTATACGGCTAATGTCCGGCTCTACCATTTAAAAACAATTATGGTGCATATAAAACTTCAATTCGAAATGGAAGAAATATTCTAAAGAAATAGAAAAAATTATGGGAAAAGAAGCAAAAGTAATGGATTTTTCATTCCTACTGACACACACACACACACACACACACACACACACACACACACACACACATTCCACTTTTCAGAGAACCAGATTGTATGCATTTAAGTCTGTCAGTCATCTTCATTCATACTGACTTCTTTGATTGTAGATCATAGATCTAGATATGGAACCCACACATATTCTCATCCAATAGACTGTTTCACCTAATGCAAGTGTAGTTAATTCAATTGATTAACTTCTTCAGTGTATGGCACCAAGTAGGTCAAATCCCTAAAACTCTGTGTGTCCTTGGGTATTTTTAGCTTCATTTTTTAAAATTCTGTATTCTTGTCACTATGGTAACAAAAATTTTGTGACTGAGAACATGATTTTTGTCTGAAAGTCTTCCTTTGGGAGAAGGAAGTAACTTGGGCTTGCACTTAGAGACTGATCTGAAAAGCTGAGGGTAATGAGAGCAGGAAAGATCTTCACTGGCTGTCCACT